GCTCGATGCGACTTCTGGCGTGGAGGACAGGAAGGCAGGTGGGGAGGCGGTTATTGCTTGGAGGGAGAGTCCCCCTCCCTACAGGAAGCCACGACCACATGTCACGGCAGGGAAAATGGCCATGGATCCTGTTTGTCACCCGATCCGGTGTTCGCGAACGGAAGCAAAATTTTGTGAACGGTGCTGTTCGTGACCTGAATTGGTCGTGAACAGAAGCGTTCGCGACCCGAGGTACCACTGTAGTTGTATCCTCACTTCATTTGTAAGACCCAAAAAGGTTCTTTTCTGAAAAATAGTGGAAGCAATTGACAGAAACAAATTTCATGACTTAAACATTCCTGATAGCTCCCAGGGCATTTTCTAAATCTGAAGGAATATTGATCTCTCCCAAAGCTCCTTGTACTTACAAACATAAAATGAATGCAGAGGTAATTTGGTGGTACAGACAGCATGTTAAGGACAGGACATTAAATGTCCAATTTTGCATTTACTTATGTCACTAATAGGAACATTTATATTTATATATATATTTTAATGTTTTATTTATATTTCAAATTTGTCACCACCCATCTCACTGCAGAATGACTCTGTGTGGTTTACAGTAAAAACAGAATAAGCATTAATTAAAATAGATAAATATTAATTAATCAATTAAAATATGCTATAATAACAAACTTCCTATATAATATATAGGAATATATATCTATGATAGATGGACTATAAATACCATCATAGCAACTGGGGGACCATACAGTTGATCAATCCAGTGTTACTTTGGGAGAAGACTGTTATAAGAGGCTAACTCCCAGTTGCTAGACCCTGTCCCCAAAACTCTGGTTGCAGAGCCAGAGGAATCATCTCTGATGTATGGAAATGAGGGAGGGGGGTGACTTCCAAAATTCAAAAAGATGCATGCATAAGTAAATTTTGTAAAATTAGAGTTTGTTCTTTGAATTCTACATTTTGCCAAATGTTACTGAACAAGTAGACAAATGAGAGAACAGTACTGAGTCATCTCAACATGGGATGTAACATTGAATTGCATTGTATGGGATGTTCTTAAAATCCAGAGATTTGTCCAGTTGTGTTATGAATTGGCCACAAAAAAGCATTTGAACATTAGAGGGGGCTCTTGTTACATGTTCTAAACAAGTAAGAGGAATACATTGTTTGCTTGAGTTGATAAAGTCCACTGTTCTTAGCTAAAGAGACTATTTTAAAATGTTAAACAGCGGAAATGAAAAAGCAGAGGGAATTCTACCACAAATTGGGCATGGAAGTACCAGGTGACATCAAAGGGGAGACGTGCTCAGCCAAGCAGCATTTAGATTCTCACCGTAATGGTAAATAGAAATGCATGTGCTTGTTCTTTTCAGAATAATTACTATGTTTGCCAAAGGAAATTGTTTGCTCTTTGTTTAATTAGATTAGTTTAATGTGGTACATTTATCACAACCTTGCTAAAGAAATATAAACTGTTGTTTCTTGCATAAATTAGTGATTTACTGGGAATACATGACTGGCAAGCTGCTGCGTTTACCAGTTTTCTGATCCATGTGTTTGCAACAAGGTCTTCACAGTTGGATTTCTCTCCATGATTTGAAATGGCCCATTTAGTCCCAGAATCATGGAACTGGCCCCATTATTTGCACATGCATAGCCTTATGGTAGCCATAAATGTTGGGTATCCTGTAAAAAGAGGTGTGGGTTTGACCAAAGTGTACAGGTCAGTAACCCTAAGCCATTCTTTCAAAATTCCATATACTCTCACTAAAACAAAAAGGTTGAGAACTTCTGTTTCAGGGCAGGGTTTGGCAACCTTTTCACTGTCAGAAATCCTTTTGTGATTTCACACTCAGTTATGGGCACCAAGACATACATAAACAATTGTATAAATTAAAGGTCCAAAATCTGGGGTAATCTCATGCAGGAACACAGATCTTGCAAGGTTTGCTAGTTTGCAAAGTCTTATGTGTGTCACCATGGGGCATAGTAGTTTTGTTAAGATGTCACCGGCGTAAATGGGGCTGCACTGATTTTTGTGGCTTTGTGTAGGGTTAAAGGAACAAAATGCTTTTTAAACTGCTAAAATAAATAATAAAGAAGTTCTTAAATTTTCAACTCCATTTACTTTGGGATTGGGGAAGGGCTGCAAGTGGAGTGTTGAGAGGACACATGCCACCTACTGGCATAGGTTTCCCTCTGCTGATCTAGGATATTAATCCTGCTTTAAACTCTTAACAGTCCACTGCAAACTGATTGTTCTTGTCAATTAAACAATTCCAATGCAATATGCTTGATGATCAATAGCCAAGTCCTATGAGCTTGCTGCATTTAATCAAATTCCAAAAATGTTTGTCTTTTCATAGTCTACAGGCCATGCGCTAAGGTGATTAGGTGAAGTCTGGTGGCAAAGCTATAGCTGAGCAGCAGGGTTGGACTTTAAAACAATTGTATTAGGTTTTTGGTGTTTTAACTTTGTGAGTTGCACAGAGTCACATATGTGAGATAGTCGGCTATATAAATTGGATGGATGGATGGATGGATGGATGGATGGATGGATGGATGGATGGATAGATAATATAGGTTCCTCAGTCCTAAAATAAGTTGTGGATGTTCTTTAGGATGGAGTTTGTTAAGTGTTATTGCAGCAGAGCCTGACAAAATATAATGCTGATATTGCACAGATTTGAGATTTACATTGACTTCTATGTGGCCAACAGGCTTAATTCTGAAAAGGCTGTTGATTTTATGTCATTTCATACAAATATTTGTATCTCTGGAGTCTTCCACTTCATAACAGATCGTCTGTGCTTTTGTCATAAGGGGAAACAAAAGCAGATGAGAGCACAAACAAAGAAACAGCGGAAGAGAAACAGGAAGAAGATAATGATTATCACAGAAGTGATGAACAGGTATTGTTGAAATATAACCTTTGAACTAAGCAGCTGTTCCCCTCTTTGTTGGTTTAAGGCAGCATTTCTCAGGGTGGGAGCTTCAGGATGTGTAGATTCAACTCCCAGAATTCTCAGCATGCTGTCTGGAGAATTCTGAGAGCTGAAGTCCATGCCTCTGGAAGTTGCTTAAGTTCAGAAATACTGGTTTAAAGTTATAGAGTTTTTTTTCCCCTTAAAATTGATAGAAGGTAGAGCTAGCTTAAAGAGAACATTGATCCTTTTCAAAGAAGTCATTTCCATGAATAACTAGAGAGGTTCATTTTTAAGAGAAATGCATGAAATTGTCAAAAATGAAAGAATGTCCTAGATATTATAGTGACTTTTAAAATCCTAAGCGTGGCTGCTTGTGACTTCCCAAACTTGATTGAAATCTCTGGCTTCTGTCCTGGAATTTGCTAGGCAAAAAAGAAATAAGGGGAGACATTGCTGAAAATAAGTGACCCTCTCATGGTTGGCTGTCTCCCCTTCCGCTACTAACTTTGTTCTCTTTCGCTAACTGAATCTATGCCTTACAAATTATTCCAAATTCTTTGAAAGAAAAAGAAATTGCTTCCCATTCACAATAGGTTGGAGCAGTAGGTTGGCTTTGCTGGTCAGCCTATATGGCTGCCAGCTACTTCAGTAGATCTGAAAATCATCTATTGCAGTAGATCTAAGAATTGAGCCACTGAAGGGCTAGAATATTGTGCATGGATGAAATGTTATCTCATTTCTGCACAATATTTTTCCTTGCTGCATAATTGATATTGTTTGGAATGTAAAGCGATTAACTGTGTCTGGGCTTACATCTGGGAGTAACTGGAAGCAGAAGACTTATTCCCCTGTATTCTAGTTGAAAGGGTCTCAGGCAGAGAGGAACTTTTTAAAAACAATATATATTTAGAAGTTTAAGGAACCTGGAGATTCTAGGAAGAGCATAGATCCAAATGTCCATGGGATTAGTGGAATGTATGCACAACCTTCACTGAACCCACAAAAGAGCGCAATAAGAAACTGTCTTCCCAGTGGGGGAATTGCCCCCCACTTGCAAACAAATTACTTAATCCAGTTTGATAATCCTGCCTTGGAGAAAATAACACGAAGTTTCATAGCATATTACAGCATATTAGAATACTTCTCCCTCGTTCACTATTCTCCATTCTGCCATTTTTTTTCTTCCAGAAGAAGACATTCTTCCAGTTTTCAGTCATCTACTTCAGTAGATCTAAAAAATCATCTATTGCAGTAGATCTAAGAATTGAGCCACTGAAGGGCTAGAATATTGTGCATGGATGAAATGTTATTTCATTTCTGCACAATATTTTGGGACTTTCCCAACACAGACAACCAATTCTTTTTAGCTAGTCTCCCTTCTGCATTTGACTCACCGCTGATCTGTTGTTTCTCCTTGTTATGTAACGTGAGCATGACATACCTCAGGGTGCTCATTTCTCTGGTTTTGCTGCTATGAAATGAGAACTTAATTTAACTATTATTGGCTCTTTCCTTAAAGGTAAGCATCTGTTTGGAATGCAACAGTAGCAAATTGCGTGGATTGAAGAGAAAATGGATTCGCTGCTCAGCACAAGCGACAGTCTTGCATCTAAAGAAGTTCATTGCCAAAAAACTTAATCTTTCTTCATTTAATGAGGTAATCCGTGCTGATAGATTAAAAAAAGAGAGAGAAACAAAAAATGTGGCTGCTTTTTTAAAGAATTGTGTGACTTTTTTTCTTAAAAAATCATATTAAATGCTTAGAGATGGTTGCTTTTTCCTCAATCAGAAATACTTTTTCAGTCACTTAACTTATATATAATGAATGAATGAATGAATGAATTTATTTATTTATTTATTTATTTATTTATTTATTAAATT